AATTTGCAATGTTGTGTTTTTGGGGGCAAAATCAATTATCTGCATATTTGTCTGCTGTGGAAGTTGAAGACAGGAGTCGTAAACCTGAACAGTTAAGGCAAAACAAACATGTTATAGCGTGTCATAAACTGCAGGTTAGGACAGAACACAATGCTGTCACCTTTAAACAATTTCTGCACCTCCACTGAATGGGGCCTGCTGGTGATGTAGCCACATAGGCAGCAGGGCTCAGGACACGGTATGTCATGACATCACTTCCACGAACATCAAATTACTGTGGCATAAATAGCAGATAACCACCACACAGGAGAGCCTTCATCCACATCTCGCTTATCCTGTCAGGGGTTCCTGGTTTTTCCCTCCTCAGACCATCGTCGGTACATATTCACCCCGGCTGACCGTCAGCACCTCACAAGCCTTGCAGTTTCAGAGATGCTCTGACCCGGTCATCTGAATGATTTGGCCCCCGCCAGTCACTCAGATCTTTACCCCTGCCCATTTCTTATGCATTTATCATGTAGCCTACACGTATTGAATATTAGCTTACCATCCGAACAACAATTCATACTTCACTTTGGGCATGCACAGGGAGAGGTGATGTAAATCTTGCCAACAGCGGGTTGCACTGGTTGGCTGTGGATGGTGCAGGTGTAGCCTAGGTTCTTTTTGTCCAGTAGAAATCATGCACATCCATGCACGTCAACTGCACATGTGCAAGATAATTGACTAGGTATTTCCAGTAGGTGGCAGCAGTGGCTTTCACACAGTAGAGGTCGATCAGTAAAAAGCAGAAGAGTTGCTGGAGATGTGCAGGTAGCTGCAATAATAATTTTTACTGTCCAGATAATTTATACTGCCTAGACCTTATACTACACCATTCAGTGATTTTTAAATCTTACTGATAAAAAATGCCATATTACCTTCATACCACCCAAGCCTAGACCAACACCTTTAAAACTGTTCATAAGAAGTTTTCGTCTTCAATACATTAATTGTACTTGTGTTTCTTACAATATGCCCTCTCCTGGTCTGGTGGAATATCACTGTTGTATGCATGCACTGACCTGGACCATCTGCATCCACCAACAAACATAGTATGAACAGAAGCTTCTGCATGCATGACCATCCGCAGTCCGGAAGCGCTGAAAAGTGAAGTATCAACTAGCCTTAATATGTCCTAGACTTTGACATACACGGTTTCTACAAGACAGGCAACGTTATTCGCTTCACAAAGGGTGGTCTAATATTTTGGCTCATTTCTTTTTACTGCCACCTGCCACACATGTGGGACATTGTTTCACTGTGTGTTTTCCGCAAATATATTTCTTGCAGTACGCGCATTGGTTGCTCGTCTTCCAATCATGTGAACGGGGACACACCTGGCAACGTCTCTTCCTTACACGACCAGCTGCATCCTACAACGATAATGGTTTTATTAGTTCATCAATTATTCTAAAATGCCTACAAATCTGTTCATCAACATCTCGCACTTACTTTACTCTCTGGAGGGTTGCATCCTGCACCTGCGGCCTCAGCAGCCTCCTGTAGAATCTTTCTCGTCAAGGCTGCAGCCGCTGGAGCCCTTGGAATTAGTCTGGTCCTTTGAATGTGAGGGAACACAAGTGCCCTTCCCAGCTCGTCTAGAAACAATCTCCGTCTCATGCAGGACTTAGTTTTTTCCCAGTTTGGGTTTAATGCCAGCCAGATCACGAAAGCATTGTATGCAGATATATCCAGCATGTTAAAAAAGACCACAAGGGGCCACCGTAAAGTAATTCTCTTGCAGCTATAACAGGCCGTGACCATGTCTAAAGTGTCTACCCCTCCTTTTGTGGCATTATAATGCAGAATGATCTCTGGTTTCTTGTCTTCTCTGTCACTGATCTGTCCCTCTCGATGCTGTGTACTCATCAGCATCACATTCTTGCCCTTTCGTGGTACGTATGACACCAGAGTAGTATTGGCTGTGAATGCAAACTCCGAGGATGTCACTTCCCTGTCCTTCACAGTCAAAAGCTCAGGTGGCAACTCTGGCTTGTTGTGTCTGACTGTGCCAACCATAGTCATGTTACGCTTGAGGAGTTCTTGTCCCAGGTTGTATGATGTGAAAAAATTATCACAAGTGATGTTGTGGCCGCTGAGGCCCTGTGTCATGTCGAGCACCACCCGCATTCCCTGGTTTTTCTCTGAGATTCCACCCTTTACCTTCCCTGTGTAGATTTGCATGTTCCACGCATAGGCGGAAGCAGCATCACATGCAGCCCAGATTTTTATGCCGTACTTTTTTGGTTTGGCTGGCATATACTGTCTGAATGAGCAACGGCCTTTAAATCCAACAAGGCGTTCATCCACAGTCACACTGGATCCAGGATTATACATAAGTGGAAGCTGCTCAACCCACTTGTCCCACACAGTTCGTATTTCTGCCAACTTGTCCTTCTGCCGTCTCTCACATCTTGTTGCCCACTCATCAAATCTGATGGCTCTTGAGAACATAGAGAAGCTGTTCAATGACATTGATGTTCTAAAAATAGGTCTTCCTAGCTCACTATCCCACAGACTCCGAGCTGACTGACCTCTTGATCTGTAGACACCTGCGAGGATGAGGACCCCATAATAGGCAAACATTTCTGTGTTATCTACCTCTTTCCATTGCTTACCCATAACACGTTTTCCCTCAATGTTGGTCATATTCAGAACAACTTGCTGAACTGAGTCTGAGATAAATAGTTCAAATGCTGATCTTATGTCATGGACAAGGCTCGCTGCTGTCTGTGTGGGTCCAGGTTTCATGTTTAATATTGTGGGAGGGCGAGGTTGTGCAACCTTTGGAGATGATGACCATTCAATCTGACCATTCCTGGACATGAATATTTCTCCTGGTCTCTGCTCAGGTTGCTGTGGGGCATCCTGCTCGACAGTCTTGGGAGATTTTCGAGGTCTGCGCTTTAGATCGACTTTGTCTGCTGTATCACTCTCAGATTCAGTCACCTCTTTATACTCCCACTCTGTTGAATCCTCATCCTCTTCACTACTTGACTCAGTCTCCTGCAATACTGGTGCCAAGGCTCGTTGTGCAGAAGTTCTTTTGGTCATGTTACCTAACTGGCTCTGAAAATGTGTAGATGAGATTGATAAGATATTTTTTTTTGATCAGCAGAAGATTCTCACATTACAGACTGGAGAAGACAACAAAGCTGTTTGGGCAATATCTGAAGCACAATCCATTCACAACACAGCAGCTGCGTTCTAGCTAGCAGCAAAACAAAGGCACGCATTGAAATGGTCTTGCTGAACGCAGGTAAGAATTGCAGACACCGACAGTCATTTCCAATGGGGCCTTGGACTCCGAGAAATATGCTGCATTCCATTTGCCTTGGGATCCGATTTTCGTATTCCGATATTACGTCACATCCGCTAAAACTCGGGAAAACAGAGTCGGATGCGTTCCGTTTGCCACAGAAGTAGCAATACCATGGACCCATATGAAAACGCAAGATTTTTTTGCTTAGCCGGACAACTTGTCGGATTTAAGGTACCTCAGTTTAAATGGCCTTTATCTTCGTTCACTTACAATTAGCAGGAACTACCTTAAATCCGACAAATAATCTGACTAATCATGAAATCCAATTCTAGCCCGGTTAATTGGTAGCCATTGTTAGTAATATCACTTGATAACACATTATGCGCGGTGCTTCACGTATAAAACTCCATAGCAACACGTCCACAGATAAATTGGATGGTATAGTGTGTGCGACCGATTTAATGAGCCACAAATGAGTAGTGATTAAACAGGATAAAACTACAACTTTCCCTTCGGTTGATAAAGGGCGCAGCTATCTTGGATTCTGAACTCGGGATCCTCTGTGCTGTCCGAGATATTCGTGCATTCCATTTGCCCTCGGAACTCGGATTCCAGAAGTGATGACATGTGCGCTCCTGTTTCTCGGAGATCCGAGAAATATCTCGGATCTTTGAGAAACGGCTACCAATTAACCGGGCTAGAATTGGATTTCATGATTAGTCGGATTATTTGTCGGATTTAAGGTAGTTCGGGCTAATTGTAAGTGAACGAAGGTAAAGGCCATTTAAACTGAGGTACCTTAAATCCGACAAGTTGTCCAGCTAAGCAAAAAATCTTGCTTTTTCATATGGGTCCATGGTATTGCTACTTCTGTAGCAAATGGAACGTATCCAACTCCGTTTTCCCGAGTTTTTAGCGGATGTGACGTAATATCGAATACGAAAATCGGATCCCAAGGCAAATGGAATACAGCATATTTGTCGGATCTCTGAGAAACGGGAGCGCACGTCGTCACTTCCGGCTTCAAAACTCAGAATCCGAGTTCCGAGGGCAAATGGAATGCACGATACACCCTCTTCACCCATGCCTGTACATCCTGTATAATTATCAAATTTGCTGATGGTACGACGGTCACAACGTGAGGCGGACGAAACAAAGAACGTTTTATATTTTACCGTGCTAGTTATTATCTTTTTAATAAAACGTATGTAGTTATTTTTTAATAAGGAGTTTATAGAGAACAGTTATAGCAACAGTATGAATTGCATCAATAATTTAGCTGTGTTATATTTCACCGGATGTATGTCACACCGCCATTCTAGATATCTCGAATGACGACAACAGGTAATACTGGTGGAAGACACGTCATTTTTCCTAGTAAGAATTCAATTGCAGATATCTTGAAATACGTTTTCTACTAGTAAGAATGCAATTGTGGATATATGTAATTGCCATCCTGACTAGTAAGAATATATTTTGAGTAGGAGAAATGATATTGTGTATATCTAAAATGTAATTAGTGACTGATGTGTAATTAGTGTGACTTGATTAAATGTTAAAACGGCTTGCCATAAGCGCACACGGAAAAGTTAAGTATGAACTGGCTTTATCGCCCTTCTCCGACGCGCGATAGCGACGCCATCTGATACCGTAATGTTAAGTCTATGCGTGCACCACACATTTTAAGCGTGGATGATTTGACCGTCCATCGGAAAGACGTGGCAATAAATGTTTTAAACCCGCCCGCAAATGACCCAAATATCTCAGAGCTAAGTTTTTTGTAACCTGCCGAGCCGAAAAAATTGGCCTTTAAGGAGACAAAAGTGGATACAGGCAAAAGACTGAGCGCAACGTGTCATACTATGAAAAACCCCGTAAGGCTGCTTTTGCGGTTCTGCAGCTTATAAAAACTTAAAGAAGTTCAAAATATATCCGAGAAAAAGAAACTTTAGGAAAAAAATAAAACGAATTTCGCAGAGCTCTAAGTACAGTACCGTATGTAGTTACTTTTATTATCACTATATTATTAAGGTAGGGTGACCAGATAATCCATGTCAGGGAGGACACTGAGCCAGGACAGGAATTGTAAATTACCATTTCAATTAAACGGACCTGGATTT